GTGGCTCCGCCACTGGACTTGACGCCACAGGGCGTAGAGGAAGCAACCATAGCTGAGATTAATGATGAAGATGCCAGATCAAGAGGATTCTTAGTTTTAAACTTTTAAAAATGCCATACTTGCCTGGTGGTGCGGGAGGACGGGTGGAAGATATGCTTTGCACGGACGACTAGGTTGTCCGGAAGTAGGAGTGTGTGGGGTAGAAGGTAATTGAGGGATAGGGTTGGAGGTAGGTGGAGATTCAGAGATGGTGGAGAACTCCGGCAAGGATGGTTGACATGAGTAGGGAGCACCAGAGAAAGAAAAATAATGTTCATCAAATTGAGCATAACGAGTGATAAATATGCGTTGAGTGTCAGTATTGCAGCATCGAAAGCCCTTGTAAGAGCCACTATATCCAAAAAAAATGCTCGACAACCAAACAGTTTAAAATGAGCATAGTCAGGAGGGGTGCCAAAGAGTACTTCAAAGGGTGATTTTTTGTACATGCAGTGGAGAAGATGACATGCGGTTGATTATATGAACCACAGTGGTAAAAGCATCAAACAAAAAGATAGCAGGTACGTGGGCATCAAACATCATGTACATCTCAGTTTCCGTAATGTGACGGTGTTTGCGTTCAGCGCGACCATTCTGCTGAAGAGTATAAGGACATGAAATTTGATGATGGATGTCATGAAGATGCATAAATGTACGTAGGCAAGCATTCGTGAATTCTGTACCACCATCGGATTGAAAGACCTTGAGAGAAGCTGAGAATTTAGTGCAGACAAAGAGATGAAATTGCATAAATATCAACAAACTCAGATTTGGCACAAAGAAGATATAGCCAGGAAAATATGGAGAAATCATAAAGACCTTGTTCACACCTGCCTTGAGCTAGAACTTCCTTTGTCCCCCGATGCTGGATAGTAAAAAATTTGTTAGAGAAAATAACATCAACATGTTGATTCGGTGGTTAGCTTACTGGTGGATAAAAGATTTTTGGTAATTTGAGTAACTACTAGAACAACCGATATTATATCTTAATACTGTTTTGCATATTTTGAAAGCCAATATGAGATATGTGCAAAGCGGAGCCATTACAAACAATAATTTTACCAATACAAGAGTAAAGCTCACAATGATCCAAATTTGAAGTTTGTGAAGTCATATGTGTCGAGGCTCATGTGTCAACATACCAGTATGAGACCGGTTCACTCAAGTTAAAGGCAACTTTGAAAGATTCAGCAAGTTGAGCAGAAGGCTGAGAAGAGCTGCCACAAGCTTGGAGGAATTGAGGGCATTTGTCCGCATAGGGTTCTCTTCGGAAGATTTGACACTGTGGAATGTAAGCCCGACAAGAACTAGGGCCAAGACGCCCGCCTGAGGTGGTATGTAAATTAAAGCCGGGCGGAAGAGGAACCAGGGTCTGAAGAAGATCCCGAACCGCCCTTGATACTGCCAGGACTACCACGGCCTGAAAAGCCACCACGAGTGACATTCATGTAATTTCCATATTTATGTTTGTGTTTTTAATTAGTTTAGATTGATTATCACTTTGGAAATTACACACTTTTGGTGTAATAGTTTAGTTTGTAAAATGTTTGTAAATTGTTTAGATTAGGTTTGTTCTGAGCTCAAACAGGTCCAAGACCACTCTAGGGACCATTGGTGGACATCACAAGTGGAAGGAAGGTGCAAAAATTCCAAGCAAAAATGAAGATCCTGATTTTTGGTGTTGTACCCGGTCGAGTATGCCCTATACTCGATCGGGTAAGTCGCTGAAAAATCAAATCGGATCAACCCGGGAACAAGGCAACATGCAGGGGAGATTTTGACCACGATCGAGTGTCTATACCCGATCGGGTGGCCGACATACTCGATCGGGTATACTCCAGTTTTTTACACTTCTGCACAGCAACCGAATACCCGATCGAGTGGCCTTACAGCCCGATCGGGTACACGACCCTGCAAGCCTAAAAAGCCTATAAATACACCCCATTTCTTCCACAATAAAAAACACCAATTCCTATATACTTCTAAGCTCAGTCTAGATAAGTTCTTTCTTTATATTTTCTTCATGTTTAGTCTCCAAATGAGGAGCTAAACCTTTCAATCTTGGTTTTGCTACTTTGAAGCTTAATGAATTTGTAAGTTGTGAGTTATTCTCTTTAATCTTCTTCCTTGAATATTAATTCTTCCTTTAAATATTATTTCTATATCAATGTTGGGGAGTGTTACTAAGATGACAATTAGTTAACATCTTGACATTAGTTATAGTAATAGCTATTTCTTCCTCTATGTTAATATTGGGGAGTGTTACTAAGATGACAATTAGTTAACATCTTGATATTAACTATAGTAGGATTCATCTTCTTTGATATTCTTCCTTGAGTATTAATTAATTCCTATTCATATTTCATATTAATATTTTGAACATTACTTAAAGGATCAACTAGTTTTGTTTCATATATTAATTATTACTAGAATCAATCGGTTAATACGCTTGTTATTAATTCGGTTCTTTCAATGATAGTAAACTTGGGTTGTTAATGCATGCTTCTCATGGTTAATAAGCCAAGGGGAATTAATTATATTGATTAAACCAATAAACCGCTTGTGTTGAGGTTATCAATCTCAATCGTTTTCATCTTAAGTTTATTGCTACTATCGAGTTAATATACGGCGCTTGTTCTATATTGACTCGATAGTAAGTTTTATTAATGAACGCTTCTCGTTATTAATAACTACCCTCGATGAACTGGATATACTCCTCGATTGAGTATTTGAGAGGAAGATAGTTAAAGATATAACCGGGATCGACGAACATTTCATTAAGTGGATAAAAGCAAAGCCAAGTCTTCTTCTCATTAATTAAACCACATAACTCGTTCATCTTCGTGCTTAAATATAATTTAAGTTCACTCACTCAATCTAAAACTCCCCCCCTTGTTACTAGTTTATAAAAAGAGAAGTGTTCCTTTCCCTGTGGATACGAACCTTACTACACTATACTACGTATTAGTGTCGTATTGATATTTATTTTGAGTGCACCTCACGACAAGTGCACGTCAACGAGAGCAAGAATTCTAGCCCGAACGAGAGGTAGGGTGGTCGTGAGCATAAAATTCAGCAGGGGCCCGAGGTGTTCCCTCCATGGTACGAATGAAAAGGTCATATTGCTATGCTTGATGAAGGAGATCTAGAAGAGGCGGAACAAGGTCACGAGACATACGATAATCGGCGAAGCTAGCAAATTGAGGGCTTAACCCTAGTAGTAATCAGTGACTCTTGTCTGATTCTTCAACATCACGCCCAATTGCATCTAAGTGATGGCAGTGATTCTGGAATTGGCGACCATAATCGACCATAGTCTTGGACCCGCGACTGAGAGACATCACTTCATCACGGAGTTGATTGGCGCGTGAGGTGGAAGACGGAGAGAAAGTGTTCTCCAACGCAACCCAAGTAGCACGAGAGGTTGTGCAGCCACAACCTCAACCACAGCTTCCTCTGTTAGGGTGGAAAATAGAACACCCAAAATCTTCTGGCCGGTGATGCGCCAGGATGTTTATGCCGAATTGGGGCTTTCAACAGAGTTGGTGGTGACTGTTGGAGAAGGCGCAAGATAGAGCCATCGACATAGCTGATGAGGTCAAACGCTGGAGCATAGGGCAGACTTGACTTTTCCATAACAAGAAATTGGTGGAGGAGAGCTTTATGGTGACCATGTGAACCATGGTGGCGATAGGGACAATCTCAGGTAGAAGCGGCCATGTCGGGGATGAATTTAAACGAAGGGGACTAGTTCATCCGGGAAGAATATGAAGGACGAAGGGATTACCGACTTAAGAGGGGAAAGATCGGTGGATGACTGATACCATGTAAGAAGAGTATTTTATTCACACTGAATAATGAGGAGAATTGATACAATATAAATAGTACAATGTGTAAGATGTGTACATAATTTCTAATATATTTTTCCTTGTATGTTATTTGTAACACACGGAGTATATGATAATGATGATGAAGAAAATGATAATGATAAAAAGAGAAAACTATCAAATAAGCCCCGTACATTTTTTAAAAATCAATTAGGCCCCCGAACTCAAACGACATTCAATTAAACACCTAAACTATTAAAAACGAAGCAATTTAGGTTTTTAGCCGGTACTATTCCGGTTCCTGGTTAAAATCCATTTGGGAGATCTGATGTGGCATTTCTTTTCTATTTTCTTTTTTTCTTTCTTCCTTCTCCTTCCGGATCCCTTTCTTTCTTTGTTCTGCCCGCTTAGCTTTCTTGCTTCCTCCCTGCTCCAGTTCCATTTCTTCTTTCCTCCCTGAATTTTCAGAAGCATGGAGGCTTGTGTAGCAGAGAAGACGAACACAATTAGTAATTGGGGATTTGTGGTCTAAGCTAGGGTTTTTCACAGCAGGAATTGGCGGTGAGAAATTTAAGGGACTGGGTTTGAATCGAGAGCAGACATAGAGAGCACGATATTAATTGCATTCGATGGTGTAAAATCGCTCTTCATCATTTTCGATGGAATCTGAATTCTGGGGAGTGTTCAAAAAAAAGCGTGAACCACCATTAATGGCGGTTGAGTTTCATGGGATTATTGCGAGTGATATTGCAATCTCCAACAGTCCAAATCGCTGAACTCATCGTTGAACTCATAGCTCCAGCGGTCCAATCCGGTGGAAAGAAGATCGTGAATTGCGTGTTGTAGCTGTGGTTGCGTTGGACATGGATGGAATCATGGAACCAACGAGATGAGAGTTGCAAGAAGGAAGAAAAAATAGAAAAATAAAAAAATAAAATATTACACATGTGTTGCCACGTGTCGCCACGTGTTGCCACACGTGTGATCGTTTACTTAGTAACTGGTTGGAAACCTCATAAAGAGCTTATTTGCACGTTTGTTCTAAGTTTAGGCCGATGTTTAATTGAATTCTTTTGTGTTCGGGCTCTTATTGATTTTTTATTTAAAAAGTAGGGAGGCTTATTTGATAGTTTTACCTGATAAAAATAACAACAACAATAGTAATGTTGATAATAATAATAATAATGTTGATGGGGTTAAACTATATATATTTTCCACTCAATCCATGATACCTAGCTAATACGAAGTATGTAAAATAAAAAGGATGACACCTCATCTCTGAGGGCCCCCCAACACCAACCAGATAGCTAATATGTATAGAATACGTACATACATGCAGCTTCGATCATTATACATGCATAGGAGAATTTCCCTAGCTAGCTTGCCTATATGTGGGTGATTACGTTAGGTAACTAACAAATTTGGTTGGCATAGGCATTACTATTGATTTCCTCCAAAGTGTGATGAAGACTCTTTCGGTTCATCTCAGCGTACATTTCCTCGATCATTGGTTTCCACAGACGAACTCTTGCATTTATAAACCAATTCGACACCTGTTTTACCCAATCCCAGTACACACAAGCCATTATATTTATGAGAAATCAAACTAAAAATGTACCTAGCTTAGGGGTGGATTCGGGTCAGGCCACCCGGCCCGCTATTGTGCGGGACCAGGACCGGCCTGGTTCTCGGGTCCAGGTCGGGCCTAGACCCGGGGGGTCCGGCTCGGGTCGTGGTTTTGGCGAACCGGCCTGGCTGGTTCGGGCCGGGTACTGGGCCTATTTTAATTTTTTTTTTCAGTTTTTTTTTTACTTTTCGGGTTGGGCTAGGTATTTTGGGCCATTTGGGGTGGTTTGGGCCTTTGGGGGTGGGTGTTAAAACCCGGGGTTCCATCATAAAAGGTCAACCTGATAGGAGGAGTAGCCCAAAGCCTTATTTAGTGTTTAATTGTTTTATAGCTTTCCTGTGTGGGACAAATGCTTCAACACGCCCCCTCAGCCCGAACCGGGCTGGACAATATCGGGGTGTATAAACGGGCCAAACAAACCCTTAACAAGCTACCCTTAATCATGGGTGCTAAACAAGCCGTCAAACCACAACCGGAATTGGCTCTCATACCATGTTAAAACTCGGGGTTCCATCCTAAAAGGTCAACCTGATAAGAGGAGTAGTCCAAAGCCTTATATAGTGTTTAATTGTTTTATAGCTTTCCAGTGTGGGACAAATGCTTCAACAATGGGGGGGTTAACTAGGAAAAGGGGAAAAAATAGCTATTACCCGAGGCCCGGCCTGGACCCGGGGATTACCCGGGCCGGTCCCGGGGCCCCCATTCCTGAACCGCCGGCCCGACCGGGCCAAGGCCCAGCCCGGACCCGAACCGGCCGAGCTCCACCCCTGACCTAGCTACACATAGTTTAATTAATTTAATGGTTGTATGACAATTATTATAATCTTTTTGTGAATTTTTAGGATCTACCTAGCCTTTTTTGGCTTGGTTGTGTGTAGTTTATTTATGGTCTAATTTGAGGAATTTTTTTGAGAGATGTCATATGTGTATTTTACTACGTTATACTATCTAAGTTGGTTCATGCTATATGAGTCTTGTTTGATCTGGTCTGATAGGGAAGTGAAAGTTTAGACATCTTTGATGCCTATATGTAAGAGTACCTGACTCCTTGTTAGTCCACTCTTTACCGCAAGCAAGTGCTTCTCTGTGTCCTTTGGGTACCTGACACATATCCAAACACGCAATTGAATTAAGAATATACATAGTAGATCTTAGTAATTAGTCCCATTTTATGTGTCTCTTTTGATTTTGGTACAATTTTTAATAAAGTGGTTGAAAAGGTAAAAGTTGTTGTTGAGATTTGAGTGTAGTAAAGTGAAATATTGTGAACCGCATATTTCTTTTTAAATAGGGAAATGTGACACTTATTTTGATACAATCCAAAAAGGAAAATACAGGTAAAATGAGACAGAGAGAGAGTAGTATATTGTTCAGTAGCAGATACTACGTAGTACGTATTAGTCACCCTATATATATTTCATCAATTTTAAAAACACGAGTACATGATTGTACAAAATATGTCACAACATCAAAGCATGTTTCTAATCTAAAAGAGTGAAGACTCAATTTAGTCATACCATGCATCATCTTCTTCTCAACTTTAATTTGTTAAACAATAAAGTATCTATATTTTGCTCGAATAAAAAACATTTCGTATGGTAATGCCCATATTGCATCCAAATTACAATACGGAGTATTACATAGTCACGTACGTACGTTGGGGATGAAGTTGAGATTAATATGGGGATAAATTCAGTGAAATGATGATACAATACACTCGACTTACTTTATTTCAGATCGACGTGTATAAATTCAGTGAAATGATTATACAATACACTCAACCTTACGGGACAATATGTAAGAACACAAGATAATATAAAACACTACCTCTTTTTTCCACTCTGAATTGTCTTCCAACCTTCTCTTTTCGTTGGTCTCAATAACCTTTCCTTTTTCATGATTTAAACAATTTATGGTACACGAAGTATATATTAAGATATGGGTTACCCTTCATAACAGGTTGACCTTTGATGAAATCTAAGGTCTTAACATATGGTTTACAACATTTCTTACCAATTCTTACACATTTCTCTCTACTATACGATTCTCACTTTCTTAATTCACATGCAAAACAACATCATTTGGAAGATATTTCAGTGACAAAGGGGGTACAACAGAAAGAAAAAGGGATTCCAACAATTATCTCATTATTTCATACGTAGTACTATCTCTGCCCCCTACGATGGAGACAAAATAAAGTGGTGCGGTTTTATGAAAAAGTAGAGTTAGTTGGTAATGAACTGATAAAGTGAGAATGAAGTATGAATTAGAGCAACACAAGTATCACTAAATATGGTACTCCGTATGATACAATTTTAATGGAACAGAGGATGAAAAAATGGAAAATTGAACCATTATAGTGAAATGAAGAGAATAGTAGTTTACTTTATACTCCCTCCGTATTTATATGTTCCCTACATGGCTACATATTTTAGCACAATATTAAGGATAGAATAATAAGGGTAATTAATAGTATAGAAAAAGTAGGAAAGAGTGCGTAAAAGTATGAAAGAGAAGATAAAAAATAGATAAAGTAGGGGGTGTTGAGTAGGGATGGCAATGGGGCGGGGGTACACTCCCCCATCCCCCAACTCATGTCTAAAAAGTTCCCCCCATCCCCGCCCCATCTCTCGTTACTCCCAGACCTGCCCCATCCCCGCCCCACCCCATTGTCCCCCACGGGTGCTCACGGGTGCCCCCATATAAATTTAATTTATCGTATTTGCATATACTTTTTAATATCTTATTATAAATATATGTAGTGCGTTTCTAATGAAAACGATGCTTAACGTGGGAACACTCACATTTAATCAAATATATTACACAATAATCCAATGTGACACACAATAGAGCCATTCTAGTTCACATTTGGACTTCGCTCAATACAAGCTAATATAAATAATCATGGTGGCACTTTTGTAAATATTGTGCTAGATACAAAAAAGTGCATTGTGCGAGCCCATTGTGCTTCACATTGAGGGTAAATGTGGTGTTCGCACGTTCTCATGTCAAAAATTGTTCTCATTTGATCCTAAGCCTATATATATCTATGCGCACACAGTGATATATGACACACACACGCAACACTGAAGTATTGTGTTTGTTAAAAGTTAATATCACCATTTTTAATAATTCTTTAATTTGAATAAGTTTTGTGAATTGAATACAATTAAAGTAAAAATATAAGTAAACATATTATTATCATGTACGTTGTTTCAAAATTCTCAACAATTATAATACAATTAATTACATATTATATTACATATAAATGTTTGTGTATTTATTTACTTACTTTCTCACTCTTAAAACTCATATACGGAGTAACATGTATGATAAATATTTTTAATCATCACTAGCTTATTATTATTCTAGTATAATATGTATTAATTCATTAACCATGATTAAATCGTATACAATTATGTATGTCTTTATGTATATGCGTTTGTTATATACTACAAATAATTAAATTTAATATGTGTACATTATTTATATATGTGTATATATATGTTTGAGTATATATTTATAACGGGGACGGGGCGGGTGTAGCAATATCCGTCCCCCGCCCCATATTTTAACGGCGTAAAAATATTTCACCCATCCCCGCCCCCGCCCCCGCCCCAAGCCCCGCCCCATCCTTCCCCCGCGGGGCGGTTCCCCACAGGTCCACGCCCCCATTGCCATCCTTAGTGTTGAGTATTTTATAAAAGATAAACTTACCAAAAATGAAAGTGTAGGAAACTTTTAAATATAATACATCCCGAAAAAGAAGTGTAAGAAACTTTTAAATACAGAGGGAGGGAGGAGGGAGTAGATAGTATGTAGTTCCAAAAGTTTTATCACATTTCCATTTAAGGATTCATTAAAGACACTTAATTACTAATTTCCTCTCAATAAGCTATAGTTGACAGGATGTTTTCACTTGGACTGTAATTCGTCCCAAATCAGACCAGACCAGACCAGACTTGGATAGTTATAAAAATACAAAGAAATCACACCAGACCAGACCAGCAAATTACAATCCAAGTAAAAACATCCTTATATAGTCAAGGGATATTCTAAATCAATACCGAAGTACGTAGTACGTACTCCTTATATTTTAAAGAAAACCATAATTTTTGTACTTTAATTAGGGGGTTTCTTTTTACAAAAGATTTATGTACCTTTTGAACTCTACTGCGTATAAAAGTATATACTCTTTATGTACGTAATTGAACATAATTGACCAAAAAGTCAAATATGGTTTAAATACGTTAGGAGAGAGAGCTTACGGGTGAAGAAAGTTTTGAAACATCCAAGCCCTCAAAACAGCGACGGATCTTTCGGGCAGTCCTCTTTGGGGTCTCCACAAGTGATTCTGCTGCTGCTCTTTCTTCCTCAGCTGCTGAACCGCCCACTGCTTCTGGATGAGAGACGCTTCTAGCGACCGCTCCTCCTCCGTCACGCCGCCGCCGTGGTTGCTCGAACTGCCACACTGTTCTCCCACGGCGAGAATAAAATTGCCGATTCTCTCCCTGAGGTTTTTGTACCAGAAAGAGACGGTTTGAAGAGCTAAATGAGGGCGGCGGCGTGAATTAGTACTAGTAGTTGTAGAAGCCGGATGATCAGTTGCAGCATGGAATGCTGAAACCACCATATGCAGCTCCTCCAAGCATTGGCTGTACCGATCATCTACCTGCCTCAGCTCCATATATATTAATTAATTCCGGCATCAGATGATGATGACGATGATTATACACCCTCCGGTTTTTATCAAACTTCACACTTTGACTTCACACAAAATAAGAAGAGAAATTTGACTTTACTGTAGAATACACTGTTGAGACACTGTTTGGCACTGTTTGGCACTGTTTGGCACTGTTTTGATGTAGATTTCTTTGCCAAAAAAGGAAATAAGGAAGTGTGAAGTTTATTTTAGACCGTCCCAAAAAGGAAAGTGTGAAGTTTATTAAAAACCGGAGGGAGTAGTATTATATGTAGGTGTTTGGGTCTGATTTTTAAAACTACTTCCGCTCCTTCACGGAGGAAAAGCAAAAGTTGAAGTGTTTGAGTGAAAGTGCAGAAGGTGATTTTGGAGCTCTTATTTACTCCTATAATCAGTTCTTTTAGAATTTGGGGGAGACCATCTTCTGAAAACTGATTCTGCTTCTGTTTTAAAAAAGAAGCAGAAGCAAAATCAGTTCCAAACACCCCCTATATCACCTATATGGAGTACTAGTAATACTTGTCACAATACTAAGGGTTGTTTGATAGTTTACAAGTTAAATCTTTGACACGCGAAATAATTATATGCAAAATTTAGGAACAATCATTTTACGTGTAAAATAGATTACATTGTTTGAATAAACGCATAATTTATTTTTAATTTATACGCGTAAATTATTTGCGCATATAAAGCAAGCCAAATATTTCACCACCCCACGATAAAATGCTTTAAATTGGACGGTGCGCAATGTTTTTTAAAAACGCTCTACATTAAATAATTAAGTCAAACATTGCAAACCTTTTTTATCCCTAAAAAAAGTATACAAAGTATTTTACACCTTACCACACACTCTCTAAAATCAAAACACACAAAAGATATTTTTCAGCTTTTATCCTGCATTTCTAGCTTCAATTCTCGGAACATTTCTAGTAGATATTTTCATAATTTTAATTACGAGTATGTTTTTTTAAATTTGAAGTTTCACTTAATGGATCCTTTGAATATGAGAATAATTTTTTGATGGTAGGAAACACATTCCAAATATTTAAACCAGGGAATCCTAGGAAACACATTCCAAAAATGCACATCATATATATAATGCATTTGATGGTCTAAATCATAAGTTAATCATTTATTTATATTTAAATTATTCAATTGCAATATTCCAATAGAAAAGATATGATACATAGAGTACCACACAATTGAAGTAGTTTGAAATATGAGAATGCCATGGATTGCAATTGAATCAACTAATTAACTAATACCAAAACGAATATGTATCATTATTAGCAGAACAGTTTATGATATGAAAGGAGGACACAAGTTGAAAAATCGTACCGCTTGTAACAGAGCAAGGAGATGCTTGCGCTTAGATTCAGCATCGGCGGGAGAGATCGCTGTGGGGGGTCCACAAAAAGGATTGGAAGATCCGCCGCCGCCGCCATCATCAGCTGGGCAGCTTAATAATAATGTCGAAGGATCCACATTCTGAACCGAATATTTCGCGATTTCAGACAGCATCTCTTGGACCACCGCTAGATACGTCGTTGACGACGGCGATGATCCTCCTTCATGTTCCTCGTGACAATGACCGGTCGGAGCAGTGAGCGTAAGGGACAGCTGGCTGCTACTTCCCGCAGTATATCTTGACGGCGAACCTCCGCCGACGCCGGAAGCGCCATAGTGAATATCACGACCGCTTGAAGCGTTCTGGTTGAAATCCCACTTTCTGCTGCTCATCATTTCGACCGGCAACCCGCTGAATGGGTTGAAAACAGAGAATGGAGAATAGTAGGAGGGGAAAGAAGGCCGGTGGTTTTGAAGAAGAAACTGATCATTCTCGTGAAATTGTTCAACTCTGTTATGGTTGATCGGAATCGAACTTCCGGCGACATCCGGCATCGCCGGAGGAAGGAGTAACGAAATTACATTTCTGTCCATCCTTTGGTTTTCGGCGTTCCAATTCCCATTTCCAAAGTTTGTGGCCACCCAATTATTATAGTGTTCGTCTCCAGCCATCTCATTCATTCTGGTCTACCATTCCTTCTTTACTCCAATTATTTTCACCTTTTCATAGTTCAAAAAACAAAGCAATATAAATGATTTTCACCTTAATTCTGTATCATACACTCTGTATATATACTGCAATAAAGTAACAAAGATAGGAGTATATAAGAAGGAAGATCTGTATCATATAAAAATCATGACTGTGCTTAAATGTTTGTGGGATCAATTTCAATAATAAACTCCAATTTAGCCATAACAAAAAAAGAAGTAAACTAACTGCATTCATAGCTGAAGTATTCTTTCTCATATGTATATAAGGTACCAAAGAAAGTATGGAATCAGGGGATTGACCAAACCTTAAACTTTCCTTCAATTCTGAGGGAATGGTGGAAAATAACCTTTGCAAGAAGATTTATGGTGTTTTTCTTGGTTTGTTGAGAATATGTGAGTTATATATCATAGCAACTATCCTACATATGCCAAAAGAAGCTAATGCAGTGAAACCAAAACACAATGTAGGGTGTTTTCCTTTCTTTCCTTATAGTGCAAACTAAAAAGGGGAATTTTGAGTTTGCACCTCACTTTTTAACTGATATTGGACTTTGCACCCTATTTTCAAAACTTTTAGACTTTGCACCCTATCTACAATATTTTGTGAAGAAAATTTCCTCAATGAGGTGCAAAGGCAAAGATATTTTTGAGGAAATGGGGTGCAAAGTCTAAGAGTTTTGAAAATGGGGTGCAAAGTCTAATATCACCTAAAAAGTGGGGTGTAAAGTCAAAATATCCCAACTAAAAACCAGAAAATAATGACTCCAACAAGTTCCTCCCTTACACCTACTTCCATTGAGTATTTATTTTATTTGTCTATGATTAAAATCTAATTTACATTTTTTCAATTAACTGTCCGGCTGGTATTTAGGGCATTCAGGTGTCTCATCCTTTTTTCTTTTATAACAACACCCACAAAAAGAACAATTTTATCAACAAAAAAAGAATGGTTCAAAATTAATGTAATAGGGTAGGAATAATTCTCCTTTTATTAAAATTTGTGTCAAGTTTCTCATGTCTTAGGCTTAGAGTGACGAATATTGTAGTAGAAGAACCACTTTGGTAACCTCTATTTTCAACTTATCAATCCAGTTTATCAGCCAATTTCTTTTGTTAAGTGTAACTTTTTAGTTCACGCGTTGAATTGACTTTTCTAGATGAATTAACTAAAGTTAGTGTAAATGATCACTTTAACTATTTTCATGTAATTCTTTCTTAATTTTACTAATAAAAATATTTTAAATATATTTTTTCTATAATTCAACAGATTCAGCCAATTCAAGCTAAATTTCATCAAATTCATTCGATTCGGAAAATTGTAGTATTAACAAACAAATCCTAATATTCCATAGTACTAAAGTAGCAATAAGGGACAAATATTCAATATTCAATATTCAAATATGACCAGAGACTCGGTTGAACAACTTGATGTGTAGATAATAAATGAATTAAGGGGGTGTTTGGAACTGATTCTGCTTCTGCTTCTTTTTTAAAAGCAGAAGCAGAATCAGAATCAGTTTTCAGAAGCTGGTACCCCCAGCTTCTAAAAAAATTGATTCCGAGAGTAAATTAGAGCTCCAGGAGTGCTGTTGGAATTTCACCCAAACACTCCAGTTTCTGCTTCTGCTCCCTGAAAGAGTAGAATCAGTTTTGAGAATCAGATCCAAACACCCCCTAAAGATACCATAAACGGATTATTGCATGCTACCGCATATGGTCTTAGGCCATCTCCAACAAGCACCATTTTCAACACCAAAATAGTGTATTTGGCAAAAAATGCTCCAACAATGGCACCAAACATTACACCATTACACCAAAATGGGGGAGGGAGGATAGCTTCACGCCATATATGGCGTACACCATATATCACACCATCCAACTTTTTGGCTTTCTTTTCCTTTTAAATGTGACCTTCAAGTTTTAATTATTATAGTTTTGACCCATTTTTAAAACAACCATAGTTCTAATTAACATGACTATAATTTATGTACTCCATATATGATTTACAAAAACGTACGCAACATCCCTGCATCGCTGACTAATGGTCAGGAAGAATCCCACAACAAATACTCCGTATGTGATAAAGGCAAAGCTTACCGAGTAAAGGCTTCCCTTCTATGTTTATGCATTTTTCTACAAATAGAAAGTTCAGTTTCTAAACTCAATTAGTGCATGTACCGTGTGTGTATCAGTATATTTACTTATTCCAAAGAGAACAATTAAACCCCAGCTAGCACCAACCTGAAGAGAGTAAAAGCCAGTGCAAAAAAGTAAGGTTTTTTCTTGCATGATCAAGCAAAAGTGAGATCTTATTCAGATCCCATAAACCAAGAAACTGAGGAAATTTCCAGACACTTATGAAGGGGAATCATGATTTAGTAGAAGCACTAGACTTCCACCCCGACCCCACCCTCTCTCTAAGTACAAAGTATCTGTTCAGTCATTAACTACGCGTGATGCATGGTAAAACCCCAAGGACAATTGTGTTTTAAGGATCCAAATCCTCGGTTTTAAAGGCCAAAAATGGGCTTTGGCAGAGAGGGCCAGGGTTGTTTTAGGAACCATTTGGACCCAAATAAAAAATATACACGAGTAAAACCAACCACATACATACAGTGGCGTATCCAGAAACTTTGGTGAGTGGGGGCAAACTTGACTACAATCTAGTCTCATATTTCACAAATAACAAATCACATTATTAATTATATTGTTTGATTAAATTTAGTTTATAATATCTATGTACAAGTATGAAAAAGAAGAAGATTAATTTATATTACGGGTGTGTAAAGATGTAATTGCAAATAAAATTTAATAAATTTACCTAAATATAAGTTAAACAGTCTTAAACATAACATAATTTAGTGATTTTTTTAGCCTTTCATTCTTTTAATATTAAAGAAAACACTTCTAATCCTATTTTAGAATTTTTTTCTACATTTAACTCTTAATTTGAGTAATTTCTTGTAAAAATTTGGACATATATATAGGGGTTGGGTTGGGGTTGAGTGGGGGCAGCTGCCCCTGCTGCCCCCATAGTAGATACGCCACTGCATACATAGTACGTGTGATGTGTGTAGAGCAATTCTTGGGATGTTTTCTTTTGGACTAACATTTGCTAGTCTGGTCTGGTCTGATAAACGTCTGGTGTTTGTGTATTTTATAATTGTCCATGTCTGGTCTGGTCTGGTCTGTTTAAGTCTGGTCTGGTCTGGTCTGGTCTGTTTAAGTCTGGTCTGATCTGGTCTGCTCTGGTCTGAGACTGAAAACAGTACAAAAGAAAACATCTTTGGTGTACAAAAAATGTGTACACAAATTGTATATTGCCTAAGTACACATGCAATTAGAGAATTTTGGCATTAAATCATGCTCCTTTTCAAATAAATTGTCCATGTAGACAGACAACTAAAAAAGTTTTGTGTATACTTTGTGTACAACTCATGTACACTAAGAATTTTTCATGTGTGCAAATCTACACGAAATTCGGGAGGATTTGTGTATAGGGATAACACTTTTTTTCATTAGTGTGGGGTACGTGTATACTTTATTTTAAAAAAAACTGATATGAAAAGTATTTTCATGTAATACTCCTTCCGTCAAATATTATTTTCAAACCTTTCTTTTTCGTCTGTCTCAAAATTATCCCGTCTTTCTCTACTTGGTAAAAATTTTGTGACTCACAACATTTGTTATACATTCTTATACATTTTTCTCTCATTTGCACAACTATACATCACATAATACTCAATATCTTAATCTCATTGCTGCTTGTACTTTAGGAGATAATTATGAGATGGGGGTAGTATATAATAGAATATTTAATTGTACCAATATTATAATTACCTAGCTAGCGAAAATATTAAGTTAGTTTTCAGAATAAGAGTTAAACTAACGATCAATCCCATATATTGTTTGGACTACGGCTTTGTTTGCAACCACTTGTTCTTAAATAAAAGCACTTTTTGAGAAAATGTGATTAGTAGTAAAAGTTGGTAGTGTTTGGTAAAAATAATTGCTTTTTGTATAATAGAAAAAGTAAAAAGTAGATTCTACACGAAAACCGCACGAAAACCGAGATAGTAAAAGTTGATAATGATTAATAAAATAAGAGCCTGTTTGGAGAACTCTGTTTTCGGCTTATCAGGCTTATCAGCCAGCTTTTTCACCAAACACGTAACTTTTACTTTCGCGCGCTGAATTTTGTAATAAGCCGAAAAAGTAAGGTTGGGGTTACTTTTCTGGCTGTATTGGCTGAAGTTACTGTAGAGGACCATTTTAGCTATTTTTACATATAATTTTTTCTTTAATTTATTAATAAAATATATTTTTAAAATATTTTTTTCTTAAATCAGCAGAATCAGCCAAAACAGCCACTCCAGCCAGAATATCATAAATTTCAGCAGAATCAGCCAAAACAGCCCATTTTGGTGCTACCAAACGGGCTCTAAGTGTTTTAAAAAAAAACACTTATCAACACATATTGCAAAGAGAGGCTACTTCTCATTCGTTCAAGTCATGCACCGTATGCTTAGATTGTATATTTGTATCATTGTAACACTCCTAGAAATAGATCACATCATCCAAATTCATCCCAATAAAAAGTGTTGGCATTAAGCACAATCAAATACTCCGTACTATAATTGAATAGTGAGAACAATAAAAAAATAATACAGAGTAATAATCATTGAGTCATTTTCAAGTTGCTAAGAAAACAGACATAAAATTTCTATACTCCTGCTCCTCCGTAGTAGAGCATCTCCAATGGTATAATGTGCACGGTGCACTCGTGCCATGAGAGATAACCACATAAATATTAGTAAATAAATTCTTTCTCTCCTTATTTTAATGATTTTATACAGATTTAGTAAGTTTTTCTCCACAATGTCAAGGAAACTGTCTAAATATTGACATTGGAGTTGATATTGCAGGGAAAAACTTATCAAAATTGTATAAAATCATTCAAATAAAGAGAGAGATAATTTAGTTGCTAATATTTATGTGGCTATCACTCATGCCACATGTGCACCATGCACATTTTAGCATTGGAGATGCTCTTATCTAATAAATCTTGATAATATCTACGGAGTAATATATTTAATATCAACTATAGGTTAACACTTAGATCTTATCATATCTCTTAACTCTAATATAAATAGTTCTCCTCATTGATGAAAGAAAAAAAGTGATTTATCAAATTTTAATTTACTGTTCTTTTGAGTAAAATATGTAACTCCTTTGACAAGTAGTGGCGTAGTTAGCTAGGGGTCTTACTAAGTTTACGTCTGCCCCAAAATCTGAAAAATGCTTATATTTTAAGTGTTTAAAAGTTATTTTCAGAAAATTATATTATAAAAACTACTATCAAATTT